GGCGACCACTTTTCCGACGAGAACTCGTCACGTGCGTTGCACGCGGTGGCTTAATCTGTGTTTAAGATGCTGATGTGGCTCTGTTTTCTGACGTGGCAGGGAGAATAACCCTCTAAAAACCAATTCCCACCCAAAATAGGACATATTCCCCCTTTCGTTTTCAGAAATTGAGCGCGAGAGAGAGGGAGAAATAGAGAGTGAGCCATCATCGTTGAGGCAGTTGAAGGCGATAGATTGTAGGGATTTCAACTGATGGTGTTCCTCAGTTGATGCATTAGGTGATTTGCGGAGGATGACGACTTGGTACGGGTTGAAGCCGATGCGAAGGTTTGATTCTCTTTATACCTATGAGATCTTTTGGTGGCTTTGAAGAGGATAAGTTAATCACGTATTTAGTTTGAGTTAAATGTAAGATTAACCTAAAATTTGTTGCATTTTGTTAGATTTGATAGAATTAGGGTTTTCAAAGTTGTGGTTTTTTTCCAAATAATGGGTTGAATTTGATAGAATTATTATCATTTTTCGTAAATTATGCAGATGGCTACGCAAATTATGATTAAATATAGACATGGGGGTCATTGGACTTCGGAAGTAATGTGGCATACATTGGTGGTTCAGTTGATGTTGAGTTTTGTGATGCAGAAGATATTTCATTAGAACAATTGAAGATGAGTGTTACAGAATATGGTTATAACAATGTCGGGATGTTGTATTATTCTATTCCTAGTGTAGGACTGGCTAATGGAGGTTTAAAGCCTCTAAATTCAGATCAGGATCTTGCAGAAATGATTGAGCATGCATTGAGGCACAGAGTGATAGAAATCTATGCAAATCACGATGTTGACATGCCATTAGAAGTGATAGAAGGTCCTACTTCAGTTGCTACTTCTCCTAAAAGAAATATTCCTATGGTTAGGAGAAAGAAGTTAACACCCAAGAAAAGAGTAGATGTAAAAGAGGGCCAAGTGAGTGTTTCAAACCCTACTATTTCACCACTGTCAATTCCCTCCAAATCACCACTGCCCAGTCCCTCCAATTCACCCCCTCACAAATCTGCACAAACATCTTCTAGTGATGATGATGATGACTCAGTGGAGGATGAAAATTTCAGGGTTGATCCCACAGAGCCATTGTATGATGATGATGGTGAAGATAAGGAATTATTTGATGAGTTTAGTGCAAAGAATAGATCAAGAAAGGGAAAGCAAATAATGGAAACAGATAAAAATGTAGATGAGAATGATGGTGGAGACATAGACTCAGCAGAATCTGAAGATATTGAGAGGCATAAGAGCCTAGTAGGAAGTGATGATGATGAGTTGTTTGAAATAAGGCAAAGAAATAAGAAAATTTTAGAGGAGGAGAAGGGTAGAATAGCATTTAATGCTGGGGCAAGATTGGTAGATGATGTAGATGATCCCCCTCCAACAGTTAATGAAGCACAACCTGAACCCAGTAGGAAGTGATGATGATGAGTTGTTTGAAATAAGGCAAAGAAATAAGAAAATTTTAGAGGAGGAGAAGGGTAGAATAGCATTTAATGCTGGGGCAAGATTGGTAGATGATGTAGATGGTCCCCCTCCTACAGTTAATGAAGCACAACCTGAACCACAACCACAACAAGCTAATGAAGTCAACACCAGTTCCACCCCTATTCATGATACAGATGCTGGTAATATCCCATCACATATTGAAGAATCGCATATGTCACATATTGTGGGATTGAATGTAGTAGGTCCAAACTCTAGAGGCACAATCCCTAAAACTCAAAACTGGCCTAGTTTTTGGACATATTATGAAGGAGGCTATCAGAGTGATCAAAGAAGCAGTAATGATGAGGAACCATTGTTTGACAGTGATCATGAAGCACCTGAGATCAATATGAAAAAGAAAAAAAAAGAAAGAGTGAACTACAAGTATTTCAATGAGAGAGTGGATATGAAAGCTGTGCATTTTGAGCCAGGTATGCACTGCAATAATTACTTCATTGTGTTGTCTTAATTATACATCATTGTCAAAACTAATCATTTGTGTTTAATTTTTTTTTCAGGGTTAAAGTTTACTTCTAGGAGTGTGTTAAAGGAGGCTATTCTAAATTATTCTATTCAACAGCACTATGATCTAGTGTACATGAAGAATGACACTAAGAGGATTCACATGGGTTGTTCACTTTGCTTTTGGCAGATGACTGCTGGTCCAGATTGTCATGAGGCTGGTGTTTGGCAAATAAAATTTATTAATCATGATCATACTTGCTGCAGGACTTTTAAAAATAGATTAATAACTGATAACTGGATTGCACATGTTTATCTTGATAAAATTCTGAGGGATCCAAAGATGAAGCCAAGTAACATTGTATCTGACATTTATGAGAATTTTCAAATTAATGTCACATTGAAAAAATGTAGGAGGGGGAAGGAGAAAGCTCTAAATGCAGTCCAAGGATTAATGCAAAGACAATATGGCTTGCTAAAACCTTACATGAAAGAACTAATGAGGTCAAATGTAGGTACTACTTGTGTTCTGAAGGTGGCTGAGGGAGAGGCAGGACAACCAAGCACATTCCTTAGATTTTACGTTTGTTTTGAAGCATTGAAGATGGGTTTCACTTTGGGGTGTAGAAGAATATTTGGTCTTGATGGTTGTTTTTTGAAACATGCTTGTGGAGGGCAATTACTTTGTGCAGTGGGGAGGGATGGTAATAACCAAATGTGGCCCATAGCATGGGCAGTGGTTGGGGGGGGGAGACAAGGAACTCATGGCAATGGTTCCTAAGAATTTTGACTGTGGATCTAAACATGAATGATGGTAATGGTTGGACAGTTGTGTCAGACCAACAAAAGGTTTGTGCAATGCTATCTTTATTTCAAATTTTTCTTTCATGAACTCATTGTGATTAACTCAAAGTTTGCTTTCATGATCTCAAATTTTCCTCCTACTATGCATTTCAGGGATTGGTTCCTGCTATACATGAAGTGTGGCCAGCAGTTGAGCATAGGCAATGTGCTAGGCACATTTATTCTAATTGGAGGAAAATTCATAGTGGGAGGGTCCTGCAAAGTCAATTCTGGAAATGTGTTAAAGCCACCTCTATGCCAATTTTTCAAACTGAAGCTGCCAAGCTAAGGATAATTTCAGAGCAAGCTTATGAAGACTTCATGGCTAGAGACCCCAACACATTCTGTAAGTCTCATTTCAAATGTCACAGTAAATGTGATGTTGTAGACAACAACATGGCAGAAACATTCAACTCTTTTATATTACTTGCAAGATATAAACCTATAGTGTCCATGTTAGAGGATATTAGATTATCTATAATGGATAGAATGCAAGAGAAAAAGAAACTGGTGAGTAAATTTGTGGGGGGAGTTGCACCTAGAATTCATAAGAAGTTGGAGGAAGCATATCAGGAGCAAGTTCATTGCCGTGCCCATTGGAATGGTGATGAGAATAAAACTGATTTTGAGATAATCCATAGAGGGCAAAGTCATGCAGTAGATTTGAAAAATATGACATGTACATGTAGGAATTGGGACTTGACAGGAATACCATGCACACATGCATGTTTGTGGAAAATTTTTGTAGTAAAAGAAACGAAGGAAAATTGATTTGTATTCCTTTAATCTCAGTTACAATTGGATTTCCTGATTACAAAAGAGAGGAGAATGATCTGGATTCTCCCCTTTGTTTAATTCTGGGTTCTTCACGGTGGCGATGAGATGCCTCCCTCGAATGCTCGCGTCGAGTTTGCTTCTCGTTGACGATCCGATGTCTTGTTTCACTGGAACGTGGTCTTCTCCTCACGATTTGACGTTGTGGAGAACTCTGAACGAGTTTAAAACTCTATGAAAGAGTTGATTTAACCGAAAGTCGGTTATAAGCCAAGGATGAAGAAGATCTTGTTGCTGATCTCCAAAGCTCCAACCGAAAGATGAAGGATCCTCTTTTCGCTGCCAAGAAGTTCCAACCGACCGCCTCGAAAGATCCAGCCCCGATCTGATTATCAAAAATCCCCCTTTTAACTCTGTTGAGTTTGTCGTTATTTATAGGGGATTAAGGGGTGTAACCACCTCCTTAATTCGCTCCTAAGTGGGGCTAATGGGATGTAACCGCCCCTTAAATCACTCCTGAGTGGAGTTGTGATCCCCTCAGATCGTGGGAAACGGTTTTGGAACCGTTCAGCTCGTGTTTGAACGAGTCAAACGCAGGCCCGCGTTCTGACGTGAATTCTGCATTCAAACGCAGTGTCTGGAAGCTTGAACGCATCGTCTGGAAGCTCGGACGCAGCAATTAGAAGCTGCGTTTGTAGCATTGGAATCTACGTCTGAGCTGCGTTTGCAGCGATTTGGAAGATGCGTCTGGCGGTGATTTGAGCTGCGTTTGGCGGCGATTTGAGCTGCGTCTGTCAGCGATTAGAGCTGCGTCTGGGTTGCGTTTGCAGCGATTTGGAAGCTGCATTTGAGCTGCGTTCGTGGCTGATTGGAGCTGCGTTTGAGCTGCGTTCGTGGCTATGAACGCGGTGCGTCTTGATGCTGGTGTGCGGGGAGGACTTCCGCAGCTTGATTTGAAGAGACTGTCGATTTGTAGTCTCTTTCTGTCGAAGCGTTGCAAAGATCGTCATTTTGTAATCTTTGCTTTAGCTCTCTGATATATAAGAGTCGCCAGATTGTAACTCCCGATGTTGATTATGAAGGCTGTTTGATTAGAGCTTCCATCAGTTGTCATGAAGGTCGTCAGATTGTAACCTTTAGCGATCTACGTGAAAGTCTTCAAATTCTAACCTTCTGGAAGTCATCAGAGTGTAACTTCTATCATCGGTGTTTTGATGGGGATCAGCTATCTATTATGATTTTTAGACAGCCTACACACTAGAGTCGTTCATATCACGACAAACACATTTAATTCGCCTATCTTCTCCAATAAGATGGCGGATCCACTAGAGTCGTTCATATCACGACAAACACATTTAATTCACCTATCTTCTCCAATAAGATGGCGGATCCACTAAAGTCGTTCATATCACGACAAACATATTTAATTCGCCTATCTTCTCCAATAAGATGGCGGATCCACTAAAGTCGTTCATATCACGACAAACACCATCCGCCTATCTTCTCCAATGAGATGGCGGATCCATCAAAGTCGTTCCAATCATGACATCCCCTGTCACGTTAACATTAAACCTCTGACACAATCTACTTACCAATCCTCTTCTAAAGGATGGTGGGTCCTCAAAGTCGTTCCAATCATGACATCCCCTGTCACGTTAACATTAAACCTCTGACACGATCTACTTACCAATCCTCTTCCGAAGAATGGTAGGTCCCCATAGTTGCTCCAATCGCGACAGGACCTCATCAAGTTAATGATCACCTCTGATGATTGGCGCCGTTATTCTTACGAATAGCACGGCCTAAGTAATGGCCAACCATGCGACGTGCTATTACTTCTGTCAATAGTCACACTCCTACGTCCCTGAACTATTTGACCTATTCCAGATGTCCTAACATTGCTTTAGGATAACTGATGGGTAGAGTCTACCAGGCGATGACTCCTACCACAATCAATTGTCGCATTCCCAAGTGACGATAATTGTCAAAGGCGGTTCGACAGACAACCTGTCTGTCGGTTCCCCAGACAACAACTCGTCGAAGGGCGAGTCAAAGTTGAATTCTTCAGTTGGTCGCAGAAGTGGACGATCGTTCTTTGCTGTAAGCCAAGTGTTGCTCTCTCAATCCCATTAGAGCCACAACGCGAAAATCGGGATTGACCCGATCCCACGTTGTGAACAACCGAAAGCAGAGCAAGAGTCCAAAATGACTAAGTCCAAAGCCAGATAGTCGAGGGCTCGCCAAATCCAACTCAGATGCCAGACAGCACAGACAAAAAAAAAAAAGACATAACTAGCAAAAGAAGGCCACAACGGGCCAAAATCTACACAAGTTTGCAGTTTAGTTATGGTGCCGGAGGCACCGACTAAATTAACAAAAAAAGGGGGGACTTAAACAGTAGCATTACAAGAATCTCAACAAGCTAAAGGAGCCGATCTTAGCCTTGAGCTTCGCACGCTCCGCCGCACGTTGGATCCTCGCCTCCTCCCTCCCCCTCTGTTGCCGCTTGGCCGAATCCGCCTTGCTGGCCTCTTCCTCTTGGCGAAGGAGTTGGAGCTCTTGGTCCACCGTCGCGGCAACCCCGCTGAGCCTCTTCGCCTCGAGCTCACGCTCCCGCAACTTCGCCTCGCCGCGAAGGGAGCCAGCATCCTCAAAGAAGGCCCTGTCCAGATAGGCGTCCATCCGGCCCAGCACCGTTCGTTGCTGCTTCAGCAGACGTTTAAGCTCGGCCTCCTTTGCCTGGATCCGCTTCGCTCGCTCTTCGTGCTCGAGCAGATAACGCAGGGAAGGGGGTGGGGGCATGTCGGAGGAGTCCTCGTAGGCCAATTCCTCGAGGCGGTACATCCACCCCTCCACACGCTCGAGCTCCCGCTCACATCGCCGTGTGAGCGAGGCATCACCAGCGCGGCGAACCGCCTCCAAGCCCGCTTCCACAGCAGGAAGCGCGTCGTAGTATCGCTCGTCGCCAACGCTGACCTCGATGGCGATCCCGTGCACCAAACCCACCAACTCCTGGAGGGGCACGAAGGCGGGGTGAGCCACGGGGTCCGGGATCGCAGGGACGGCGGCCGGAGCGCCCACGTCGACGACGGTGGCGGAAGAGCCGACACCCTCAGCGTCACTATGATCGGAAGAAGAAGCCATGGGGAGAGAAGTTCTTGTGGAAAGCTCTTTCTGGCGGATTTCTCTCGAAGCAGTAAGGATTCTGCTGGAGAGGGGCGAGTACGGATATATATTACAAGAAATCCAACGGCTGAGATTTGGCACCCCGAGCGATCAAGCGATCAGAACGCCCTGCGACGCTTCGAACTCAGCGTCATTAAGGCTGCTCTCGAAACCCCGAACCGACATATCGGATTGGGCACGAGAGGCGAAGCGACCGGTCGCTTCACCATAAATAAGCATTAATGCGCCTGCAGAGTCTTGGCTGGCAAGCACTTGGGCCCGCCGACCGACACGTGGCACAAGTTTCGCCCACAGTCGGATCCCCGACCATTGGATCAACTCGCTAACTGCTCGAGTTTGTGGCACGAGCTTTGCCCGCAAGTGGATCTCCGACTGTTGGACAAACTCGCTGACTACTCAAGTTTCGCCTACAGTTCAAACTCGCCGGACAAATCGAGTCGGGTTTCCAACACAAGCCCATTATCATACGGGCTTCGCCCGCAGAATAAACTCGCCAGCCATTGAGTTCCGTTGCCAAGCGAAACTCGCCAGCAGATGAGCTTTGCCATCTACTTGAAATCGCCAACAAGTTGAGATGAGCTTTCAAGCGAACCTCGCCGCGATCAAGTCTCACCTGGAAACAAACTCGTTAATCAATTGAGTTTCACCAGCAATTCGAATTCGTCGGGAGACGAGTTTCACCACCTTAGCGAACTCGCCGTCGTCCTGATGTCGCCGATAGCATAAACTCATCGGAGCAGAGTTTGGCTTCGAAAAGTAGACTCGTCGTCGCGCAAAGGACTTCGTCCGCGATACGAGATCGTCTGCGATAACAGAGCAAAATACTGGAAAGCGACGTATCCGAAGGGTATACGCACAATGAGCGGGCACAAACCTCATTGAGACTTTAAGACAGTACATTTGAACAAAGTTATGGTTTTTGCAATTGCGAAAGTCATAATATCACGTGTTCAAAGAGGCAAAACAGGCACCTAGTGTTTAAGACAATACTTTTGAACAAAGTTATGACTTCATAAACAAACAAGTCATAAGCAAAATGTATTAACACAAATCATAAAACAAAGGTCTCAGTCAAATACGCTAAAAGTGGAGATCTGTTCTTTGACTGCCTCCACCCGGCTCGCGTGGTCTTCCCGAGCTTTGTTCTCAGCAGCCTTCCGAATCCGGTCTTCGCGGCTCGACCTGGCAGCAGCATCCGCCTGACGCAAAGCTTGTAGGCGTCGAGTTTCCGCCTCAGCATTTTTACTGACCTTTATAACGTCAGACTGGAGCCCCTTCCACTTCGCCTCCGCCTGTCCTAATTCGGCCCTCAGGCGAGCCATGGTGTGGTTGAGGTCAATAATTTGCTCCTCTAGCAAATGTTGTTGACCGACCCAGAAGTTGGTAACAGACTCCAAATCCGCTATTTCCTTAGAGCGGGTCTCCTGCTCCAGGGCGTCCTGACGCCTGACATGAGCCAGGCAAGACTCCATGTTGGCTTCTGGACCTTCCCGTAGCAAGGTCTCTAACTCTACCATGTGTGGCTCTAAGAGACGGAGTTCACGCACGCAACGGGTGGCAAGCTGATTTTCACCCAATCGCCGTAAATCAGCCACGCGATCATAGAAGGACTGCCTGAAGCTGTCGAAACTGCCCATGCCGAGTTCGACAAGGGAAATCGCCTGTCTCACAGCGCTCTCGAACTCTTCGATACGAGCCTGCCAGGACAAGGACTCGGAGGGAACAGGCTTTTGGCCTGGAGCG